TATTGTAAAATAATTTTTTTATGTGTTTCACACCGTGTGTAAAATCAGTTGTGTAACATCAACGGTTCCTCCTGTTGGGATTGAGTAGGACTTGCGCTCCGAAAGATGAGATTACATAAATAAAGCAATAAAAATATATTGTACATTTCGCTTTTTTTTTCGAAATAAATAGAAAAATACGTAAATAATTAATAATATTAATTTACCAATTCACTAATTAACGTTAATGAAGCGGATGTATTGATTTAGATGTATCTTATGAAAGTAATTAAGCCATTTTTGGGAATACATAGATGTAATGACAAGTAAATACATCGGTGTGCATCGCAATTCTTTAATTTTAGTACAGTATATCCACGAAAAGTGGTTCCATGGGTCAGTTCTATTTTTGGCATATATTTTTAAAGAAAAAACAAATATGCAAGTAATTTTATTTCTATATATCTTGAAATAAAGAAGAAAAACGTTAATTTAAAAAACTACTTACGTACATGTTATGCAATTATTAATTTGTTTTTAGATACTTTTTTCCTATTAAATTTCTTATTTCATTGAACATTCCAAACCTTACTTTTTTAGTACTACGTCTTTTTTGTGGTAGCACAATGCAAGTAATCTAAGGCACGACATATCTTTAAAAAAAAACATTATGTAAATTATTTCGTCATTAAGCAAAGTTCAGGCGCTGTGCAACATAAATATGTAGTTTATCAGAAAATATATTTAAATTTAATAAAGAAATTAAAAATAAGTAATTATCAAATTTAAGAAGTTTTGACCTAAAAAATAACTTAGGCTGTTAGGTATTAGCGGAACGAAGTTTCCGCTTGTACAAGCTATTTTTGATTAACATTCTATAATCTTGATTTTATTCAAATGACTATTCAAATGACTAATAGATAAATAGTAGTAATCATATATTTGTACTATCAAGATTTTTCGTATTACATGTATTACAAATGTTATCAAGTCCGGAAAAACACTTTAGGATGTATAAACTTTCATTAGTCACACATTGACATCATGCAAACAGTGTCGGCAATTTTACCAACAAAGAATTTTGGCCGGCCAAAAAATGGCCAATTCGGCCAAGTTCATAAGTTTTTTTTGGTTGAAATGGCGAAACAAACTTGGTTTTGCCGATAAAAATTGCCAACACTGACCGCAAGGGTTTGTGTATTGTTAAGTCCCATTCACTAACACACAGTGACAACAATGATCGAGTACATAGTTTATTAGCTATATCTGCAAAAGAATCGATCTATTCGTGCAACTCTCTTGAAGGATCGCTAATATAGAGCAAAATGCAGACAAACAGAATCCTGACAGGATCAAAATACCGACAAAGTTAGCCAGGACTACTTAATGTTGACCAATTTTTTTAGGACTTTTGATCCTATCAGGATTCTATTTCGAAATTTTGACCAAATCCGTTAAAAGTAGTGCTGCACATACATACGTTCACATGCATGCCAAGAACAATTTGTAGAGTGTATATTGAAGTATGTTGTATGTACTGACATTAAGAAAAATTGTGTTCGAACGTACGTACGTACGGTTATGTTATGGGGTGTACAATAGTGTAATTAGGCTGATGTTGTATATCACAATATTTATGCATGATCGATATGAGTGCGTGAGAGTGAAAACTTGAAACTTATCATAGTACAGTAAATCATTATATGCAGCTGCAAGTTTTTACTCTTACGCACTCATATTTCAATTCAAATATTTTGCTTGAATATTTTGAGGTGTGACCAATCATCTGTGAGACGAATAAGAATTAATTAAAATACGTATTAGTTAAATTCCTATTCATCAAACAATAATTGATCACGCTCTCAAAACTTTTTATGATTAATTTCTATACATATTTATCAATAACTTTCTTTATGGTAGCAAATCAACTTTTTATTCGATTGTTACAAATGGGTTTCAGAGTTAATTTATTTTGAAAAATAAGTGAGAGTTTCAGAAAATGAAAAGGAGTTATTCGAAGATAAACAAACATTTTTTGATGATGTATATTATATTATATAAATATAAATAGGTTTGCTAATAAAAATAAATAGGATTTGTAGATCGCTTATTGCAAAATTAATACGTCACTAATTTAATTCGAAATCAGAAACCTGAACCTTAGGTCTGAAACCACCTAATATGGATAATATATTCTACATCAAAGAATTTTAATTTGATCAAGTAAATATATAAATTCTTAAAAATGATAATATGAACATGTTTAATAACGATATAATTAAATTTATTACAAGAAACCAAAGCCGAGTAATTAGTAGAGGAATCTAAAAAATTTTAACATAATTTTTTTTTATTTGTATTATTTAGTCAACAAAAAAGGGCAAACGCGTAAAAATACCTAAAAGTCCTACAACAATTCTGCCCACTCTCATGTATCTTCGCATCATTCTGAAACTCCTCATGTTGGTCCTCCGGAAGAAACATCTACTACTGATGTGTTTTATGTCCCTGTTTTGTATATTAAAGCTATATTATGAAAGATTGTGCAAAATGTAGTACTATCTCCTATATGTATTTGTATATTAAAAGTAATAAAACTCAATATATATATATGTGTGAATTACTGTAAAAACTAAGCAATTTCCAAATTTTATTTATTTAAATATCATCCAAGCTTTCGCACTCAAGAATTCTGTGCCAGCTTTTGTCGATCATTCATCAGGTGATAAACAATCATGTACGTACATTGATATTCATGCATATTCGTGTAACGGTTCATATAAATTCGTGCAATACTGTAGTTCTATATACCAGAATACTATACAAGAGTTTTTTTAAGAACTTTAAGCAATATTTCTCGATGAATACTTAATTAATTTCAGCAAATTTTTTTAATTTTAATTATACAAGTTAATAGAATTAAAATAAATAAAAAAATTATCGAATTTAGTTAGATAATCGTTGAGAAAACTTCGATTAAAGTTAAAAAAAAAGGTTAAAAATCTTTGAAAAATCAAAACCGTAGTAAAGTTTCTTTTTTTCAACTTTAACGAAGATTTCTCAACGAATACCTAACCAAAATTGATGAATTTTTTTTCATTTTAATTCTACATGCTTGTAGAATCAAAATAAAAAAGTTTTTCGAACTTGGTTATGTAGTTACTGAGAAATATTTCATTTATTGTTTAAAAAATAATTTGCCGCAGCTTCTTTTTTATAGGCACTAAAACTTTAAGCAAAGTTTTCTCGATGAATATCCAACCAAACTCTATGAGTTTTTTTTTATTTTAATTATACAAGACTACAGAATTAAAATAAAAAAAAATTCATAGAATTTGGTTAGATATGCATCGAGAAACCTTCGCTTAAAGTTTTAGTGCCTATAAAAAAGAAACTGCGGCAAATTTTTTTTTAAACAATAAATAAATATTTCTTAGTGACTACATAACCAAATTTCGATAATTTCATTTCTACAAACACGCAGAATTATAATAAAAATTTTTTCATTGAATTGATCATGTATTCACCAAGAAATCTTAGTTTAAAGTTAAAAAGGAATTTAAGTGTAATTATTATTTAACGATATAATATTTTATGTATTATTGTCCATAAGTATACATTCTACAAGCACACATTTTATAAGCACACATTCCCAAACAATATACACTTAGTCAATACTTGCATATAGAACGCATATAATTATATAGCAACCATTGCATCTAATTATTATTATTTAGTTATATATAAGTTTAGGTACATATAATACTTATATATATTATAAAATCAGCGATTACAGAAACTACTTTGAGTTGTAATGCTAGTTACATTTATCAATTCATTTGATTTTGGCTAATATTTTGACTAAAATTATGCTTCTTTTTGCTAACTACCCGAACCTTACGTGCTGGAATAATATGCGGGTCAATATTCTCTTTAGAATTTTTTGCACCTAGCCCACTTTTTCTGCGCTTAACCGACTCAACTTGGACACGAATTCTTGCACCACTCTTTACACGTGCAAGTGGATCATTATTAGGCTTCATATTATGAAGAAAGGAAGTTAGCACTGGGATGGACTTGGCTTTCGCTGCATTATATCGCTCGGCTAATTTCTCAAGAGAAGATTGAAGTTGTGGACCACCATTTTTATAATCATTCTTGATTGTTTCAAGAAATGATTCAAATAATTCCGGATTATGCCTTAATCAAAACAATATATTTAGATAGTGTTAATATGTACCGTATAAATATATATAATAAAGTAAACTCACAATTCAGTTTCAGTAGTTTGGCTTATATCCATATTGACTTCAGCATTAGCCGTTTCCAATTCATGTGTATTTTCGAATACATTATGTAAAACCTTAGGATAGTTATAATTTTTACATTGACTATAATTTGTTTGAGAATGTAATGATGCGTAGAAAGAATCGTCAGCTACAACTCCTAAATTATATATTTAAAATTATTTATTATAGATATTATTTATATATATAAATTAATTTATAAAAACTATTTACATATTTAATTAATTAAAAAAATGCTTACCACGTGCAATATAAGCGAAACATGCACGATTATTAGGTGTTAGTGATGGAAGAAAATTTAAAGATCCAATATGATATTTTGCGGCCACTGCTCCCTGGTGTTTACATGGTGCTCCCGATAGCCCTACAAAACATGTACATGTACAGAATTCAGTGTTGACTATATAAAATAAGTCAGTGACTTTTTCCTGACTAGGAACTAAAAATTCTGTGGTTAACTCAGTTTGTCGAATCTCTGTAGCATTAATTGCATCCCAACCAGGGCACAAAAACCTTCTAGCAATTTGAAGATGACCAGGATGACTATGTGCTATTCCTAGCAACCGACGCTCATAGTACTGTTCCATATTTGTAATGATAAACTGAAACACCTGGACAATATTGTATGCTTTAGTGCGTGCAAATATAATGTCCTTTAATAATCCGAAGCTACGTTCGATATAGTTGTTGGTATTATTACCACGTGTAAAAAGCCCAGAACGGAAAAGCAATGCCCAAAATTGTCGTCTGCTCCAAAGTAACTCGAAATGTTTTTGTAATTGTGGATATATATGATAGTAATTAGTCTTTAACTCATTATAATATTCTATCATTTCAATTTCTATTTGAGCATATAGAATTTTTTTCATAGTTTTCATAATGTGCATTTTATGATTTTTATCTATACAATGCTTCGAATTATATAACCAACGCCAGAATGCTTGTAGAACATGAAATATACATAATAAGCATTTTGCTTGTGGCCAACAATACTTTAATGTGTTGCGTTCACTAGCTGAATCATCTGTTAAAAAAATCATTGGTCCAATATTAGGTCCACGTCCAAAAAATGCATATTGTGGTAGAAGTGTTTTTAAAAGATTCATTCCCTTTTTAAGGGTTAATTCTAATTCATCAGATGTTACTAGAAGACCAAGAGGCAATGCCCCCGCAATACAACTTGTATAGAATAAGGTAATTGACGTATTTAATGGCTCAAAGGATGCTGACGCATCCACATAACAAATTTCACCTGATTGCTGAATTTTTTTATGAACACGGTCCATTAAATTTGTAACTATGCAAAGGATAAAGGCTTTTCCTTCTTGAGAATTATATTCTTGAAATATTGCACGCCCCTTTCCTGAACTATTATAATTATTGACTTCATCTGTTAATCGTTGAAACATTGTAATACCATTTTTTCCACCAAGATGTTCATTACGATACCGCTTGAATAAATTTAGAACATAACCATAATCGGGGTTTTGTGCACGGTCAGCTAATGATAACATAAGATTTTGATCATTTTCTGCATTCAAATATAGACTATCTTCATAAGCGTATAAGGCTGTTGCTGGTGAGTGTCCATTAGCAAATAAATCTATATATTTTTTGCGAACTTCTTCTTTGACATGTCTGAAACTAAGAGATTTCGCGGAATAAATAACATGATTATGTGTAAATTTGAGATTAATTTCAAGTGGATAAAGTGTTTGAAGACGCCATCGTTCAAGTCTAAGATGAATAGTAGCTGTACACTTAGTATTTCTAATTCGCATTGAATTAGGCTTTTTCAATATAGGATTTCCTTGTTTTTGTCTTACAGCATCACTATGGATACAATGTCTCATTTCACGAAATATAACCTTTTTTTCCTTAAGTTGATAGCCTTTGGTTTGTGGCATTGTTGTTTTTGTAATTTCCTCAAACTCAGTAAACCATTTATATGCGCCTTCGCTTGTATTAATATTCACAAAAAAGTTAACTTCAAAATGATCAACTGAAAACCCTTCCGTTGTAATATAAGCAGGAAGTTGATGAACTTCAGAGATAAAATAATTGTAGCTTAACGGAAGTATAGCTGCAATATGTTCAGGCAATATGGTATTCATTTCACATGATATATTTGTATTAAGTGGTGGTTCTAAAATCTCACTTAAATTCATGATACGTTGTGTATTATTTTAATGTATTACTGAAAAAGTAAAATGCTTAAATTTAGAAAAATAACGTATATAGATTTTAGAAAGAAAAAGAAAACAGGTTTAAAGAGAAAAAAAGCGTATATGAATCACGTTAATGTATGTATAGATATCTTGGAACAAGTATGAAAGTTTTTATTTATTTTCGCTTTAATACTCTAAATTAATTATGCAATATGTTTCACCTTTAAATTAATTACATCATTAATATATAATTTATACATCATTTACTTCTCCGATCTGATTTATATATATCACATGAGCACGAACCTAATACCATAATATAACGATAAAAAATAAGTTATATTAAAACATGATTACGTTATAAATTCATTTTTTATTCAATTTAGATATGATCGATTGATCGATTAGTAGCAGTTCACTATTAAAAAAAAGGTTTTTATCGTAATACAATTTTTCGCGTCAAATCCATTTTTTACAGAAGGAAAAATTCTGGATCGAAATTTATCGGGGATGATCGACCATGAAAATTTAGAGGTTTTTTCGACTTTACAGCTGTTTTCATTATTCCTGGAACACCTATAAAAAAAATTAACCGAAAAATTTTTCAGCCGGTAATTTTTTCGGCAAAATAAATTCAATAAAAATTGATATAATACTGTAATATATACGTAATTTAAAATCAGGTGGCTAATATAAATAAAAAAATTATGCACATTTTTTGTTGAATTCAAAAAATATGATATTTTCAAACCACATCCGCTGGCAAATTATTGAAAAAAATTAGAAGGCCTATCAACTCGAAAAATTGCAAAACACTTAGGTGTTAGCAGGTCTTCTATAAGCCGGGTTCTTGTGCATTTTCAAAGTATGGTTGTATTGAAAAACTTCAATCGCTTTCAGGAAAACTACGTTCTTTAAACATGAATGATATAAATTATCTTCAAGTTTTAATGAAAGAAAAACCTGACTGTACTTGTATGAATTACAATCCGAGATGGAACTTTGGTTGGGACATAACATTCCGTCTAACTTTTTATATGGCTTTTCAAATCGGTCATAACATACTAAGGTAATAAATTTTAAATAATAAAATATTAATTACAGTTAATTTTAAAAAAAACTTATCAAATAAATATTTAAATATTTTGTATGTATTATATCTTACTTGTAAAAGGTTCTTTCAGATTAATAGCTCCTGATTCAGGTTCCTTCGTGTTAATAGCTCCTGATTCAGGTTCCTTTGTGTTAATAATTCAGGATCTTTTTCACTATTAATTTTAATTTCTGAATCAGTTGTAGACACTTCATACAAGTCGGATAACTCAAAAGTATTTGCCATGGACAATAAAGATTCTAGAGAATCTTTAATTGTTGGATCTACTGTTTCACTTTGATTGTGTTAATCATAATTTTTAGCGCATTTTTGACACATATTAATTAAGTCTTGATTTTTTGGAATCTCGACTTTAGTTGAATTTTTAGTCCAATTGACGAATTCTTGATCATATCTAACTTTTTTAATACTAGCACCTATTCATGTAAAATATTTACTATAAAAGCTAATTTGATATCCGGAGCCTTTTTTAGATTTCTTGTCAAGTTTTATTGGTTGACAACAATCTTTTCCATAAACTTTCGCACAAATTAAACACACTAAACATATTGGGCAAGCGTTCAAACGAAATTTTAATAATATTGACATTACTGCATTATAATAATAAAATTATTTGTAGAACAGGTATTATATTTATTATGGTAATTTTTGAAATTGGAACAACGATGTAATTTAGACGTAGATATTATACGTATCAATATTACAGTAAATAAAAATTGAACGAA